GCAACTGCACCAGATCCTGGGGAAATTAAGTCAGAAGCAGGGGACGGGTCGTCCAGTGATGCCACACTGCCGTGGTGTGTGCAACGTCACCGCTAATTCCCCCGGCGAAAACACAAAAGACAAACACGTGAACACACTGCAGTATTGACCGCTCTGCTAATAAATGCATGACTGCTCGGACAGTCGATAATCGATAATCAGAGCATCAGCATGATGTTTTCATATTTGGAACCACACAACAGCTCATTTCTCAAGGTCAAAAATTGATGAATACAAAACACAGAGCGACGCAACAAGATATCATCCGGCAACCAAACCAACGAGGGTCTAATGCACTGTATTTTCATGAAATACGCAGGCCAGACAAATCAGTGCAAGCACATAATGTTACAAGGTGAATGCGTTGCAGAACAAAGTGTAACCAAAGATACACAGCGTTGTAGTTGCACACTTGTGCATGTGCTCGTTCAGCCCAAGAACACGCATGATGATAGAAACAAACCGGGGAAAACACGTTAACACCGAGGTAACCATCAACACGTAAATAGTGCAGTCCTAAAAAGGTAAAAATAGTTACATTGACATGTACATGGTGTGCGGAGTAGTATCATCCCTGATTACTCATCCAACCGGCTGCGTCCTTCTTGGTCAGAAAGTGTTCACTTGTGTGAGGTGAGTGGAACGCTCGCACTGCTAAAATCGATTTCTCTTGACCAGAACCCCTCGACAAACGCACCGGCTGAAAAGGCGAGGAGACTCTTCCAGGCGGAATCGAGGTGGAAGACGTAGTCCCTGGGCTAGATGGAAGAGATACAACATCCCCCATGTCGACATTCTCTCCGTGATGCGACGTAGAGTCGATGGAATCGTCCATCATTTTATATTTAATCAAAATTTTCAAAATTACTCATTACATTTCCTAAGAACAGTAAAGAAAACGCCCAGAAAGAAACACATGTCGCCGGAAAAATAGCTGCGAAGAAACTTGAGGACCACACGAAGACACTCTTGTCGAAAAGTTTTGTCCACCAAGAAAAGGACAACGACTCAGGAGGACTCTACTTCCATATTTAACTGATTTGTCCAAAGACTGCGATATGTCCAAAAATCGCGAATCACCTCGTACAGACAGACTATGGATTTGAACATAACTGAGTGGAAAACCGGAATCCGAGAAAATAATAACATCAAAAATCATGAAAGGAAAGGGGGGAATGAAGCAGAACAGTAGCCAAACACACCACGGAAAGTTACCGAAAGCACTCTGCAGCAGCAAGGACCACAGAAGCATCAGACTCTCTGGCCGGCGGGCATCTTGAGACCATGGCCTGCGGTGACCACTAGCCCTTTCCAAAAGGTGCTCTTTTAATTCGCACTTAGTGCTTTTCGCGTCCCTCAAAATATGCTGAAAAAAAGGCTCTTTTTTCAGTGGAAACAGGCAAAAAGTGCCCTTTTTTCAGTGAAGCATAGCCATGAAAGGCCCATGATACATGTTCAGATATGAACCCAAGGCCAAGCTGAGAAATGAATACGCACTCTTCGAAAGGCAAAACAGGAAGTCAAGCTAAAAATAAACCACTTTTTACAGCATTGTGTACAAGCTTCACCAACTTGTGGCCCCCCCCCCCCGCCAAAAAAGCGGCGTGCCAAGGCCCATCGAGCACTCGGAAACTGTGATCGCATGCATGAGCAAACAGATTTTAGCACTTTTTCAGCTAAAAAAGCTCAAAAAGGGTGATATTCACCAAAAAACGCAATAAGGGGCAAAAGAAACGGGCTTTTCCAAAAAGGGCGAAAAAGGGGGAAAAAAGGGGGGAGCACCTTTGGGAAAGGGCTAGTGACCACGGAGGGCACTGAACTGTAGCTGACTACTACCGTAGCGTAAAGCGTATAGCGTATGGCGTATATTTAGCGTATCCCTGTACGATAGCGTACGGAGTCTGCCACCCTATGAGTTGGTTCACACAAGCAAAAGCGGTGCCACAAGACATCGGCGGTGAGCCAGCTCCTGATCCCTTGCGCATACGGTTCGAGTACCAAATCTACTACAAAGTAGTACAGAATGTGCCGAAATGCTACGCGTACGCTTCAATTCTTCTTTCCTCAGTAGTTGAGAGTCTTTCGTTGATGGTCACTTCATGCTACCTCTCACTGGAGATCATGAAACTACTTCTATACCTTTTATTGCGGTCTAGTAAGCGGTAGTGTCGAAATTATGCGTGCAAACGTTGATGAAGTCACACGAACTTGTCTATGTATCATTCGTATTTTTCATTTATTTCAATTGTATTTGTCTCATACGTTGCACAATAGTCAAGCAGATCATCGGAGAAGGACGGGTTGGTATGCTGACTTAATTTGCCACCTTGAAACGACTACAAGAATGGCGAACGGACCTCAACTTTAGCTTCAACTTAGGGAAATTTTGGATGAGTCTTGGTTTGAAATTTTGACAAAGTCTGGCTACCGGCACCGGCGATCACCGGCGCGAACAGTTCACAAACCACTTTTAGTCAAAATTCTACGGGATCGGCGCAGGGGCAGATCGCAAGAGTTGGGCACTGTCCGGCGACATTTTTACCTTATTACCTTATTATTTTGTTACGACTGCACTGGTTCACATAATCGTAATGCGCCGGGAGACGTTGCAAGAGGCCCACTCCCGGTGACTCCCGGCGCGTACGGGCGAAATGTGAATGAACCCTATAAAAGCTGTTGCGCTTTACTCATTTCTATACAACAACTGATTTCTGATTTCTCCGTGTAATACACGGAGACGAAATGCAACGAAATGAAACGAAACAAAACGAAAACGGGCTGGCCTCGAACCGTTTTCAAACCGTTAACACGAGAACGGCAAATCGTTTTGAACCGTTCACACGAAAACGGAAAACGGGCGATCAGTCTGGAGTTAGCACGTGCTGGCTTGGCGCAAGGGCGGGAAGTAACACGTTAGTTGGAGTTGGTAATTGCTGGTGGTCGCAAGGGTTGGGTATTTCCCGTGAAATATACTCCAGCGCGGAATGGTTTCCATGACCGCGCTCCGTTTCCAATCGTTTTCACTGTTTTCACCGTTTACACGGGAACGAAAACGTTTTGAAAACGCTTCAAAACACTTTGAAGTGCGTTTCCATTTCGTTCCGTTTAGGTATCGTTTTCGGGCATTGTCGTGTTAACGATAGTAGTAAACGCAACAATTTCGTTCCGTTTAGGTCGTATTTCGTTGTCGTGTCAACACAAATCGTTTTCAATCGTTGTCGTGTAAACGCAGCCTAAAACTGCAGCAACAACAGAGCCGAGCAGAAGAGCTGTTCTGATCTCCAGTTGTGCACGGGAGAAAGTTCCTTTATTGCCGCTTCTCTTTCTTGCCAGTGGTTCTATGGGCATCCCGTGTGTATATAGACGTAAACACCCTTTACCTTGCGTTTTTACATGAATCGACCAAATTTGGTCGATGGACATGCATGCGCTAAAACATTCGTTATGGGATCAATTTGTGAGGTAATCTCAAAACATAAATATGTAGGAAAAAGCAGAAGAGCACCGTTTTTCATTGCAATCATTGGGGAAGAGCTGCGATGCCGAATTCCAAAGATATCGGGCTCGACATTTCAGCCACGGCAAAGGTCGATTTTTTTCCTGAGCAACTGGCCTTGGGCTGGGGATTTCCTTCTTCCGACATGCTGCATGCTGAGTCCCCTGGGCATGCTTTGAGCGTGTGGGCTGCATAAGAAGAAACTCAGGCAAACAAATTTGAAATGTGTACGATGATGGAGTGAGAAATGGTTGACTAGGAGAGAATTTTCTCGGATACCCCAGCGATGGGGAGTGTTTGAAGCACCCTGGCGTTGGATATGTGATCTCAGTTGTGTCCAGTTTGAGCTCATTGTACGCAGAGCGTGGTGAGCTTTCGAGAATGCCCAAGATTGTGAAAATTGGTTGATTAGAACCAAAGATATTCTCAGAATGAGATGAGACATATCGCATTTGGAACTGCCCGGGAATTATGGTCAGAAGGTAAAGGGTTAACTAAAAGGTACACCCGTTTGACCCCTACTGAAAACTCACCACTGCAAATGCGGGCCCACCTTTGACATGCATCAGTAGTTGCCTAGTAGCCTGACTGGCTGTTGTGTTGGGACATGGCAAGGTTACATCATCGGCGGAGACGAAATGTGTAGCAGACCTCATAAGGCTAGGGAGGTCATTGATGAAAATAGTGAAAAGCAGCGGGGACAGGCGGGATCCTTGCGGTACACTGCAGGTGACGGTGTACTGCTGCAATCAGGTGTCGCCCACTCTTACTGACAGGTCTCTTTGCATCTAGGTTTCTTCGAAGCCAGGTTACTGCATGCGGTGTGGCGAGTCGGTGGAACTGGGAGAGAAGAGTTTTGTAATCTATGCGATCAAAGGCTTTGCGGAAGTCCGTTCAAATCACATCGAAATCATGGCGGTCATCTATCAGGCTGGCTATGTACTGGGAGAGAAGTATCAGCTGGTCGCAGGTGGACTTATTTCTAACAGAAGCGAACTGCTCTCTGCATATACCATTAAATTTCTCCAAATTGCATTGGAGGCGGCGCACTGTGCGCACTTGCCGCAAACTCTTTTCAAACAGCATATTTCACTTTGGCACGACTTCTGATTTACAGCAGTGCATGGCTATAGCAAGAATAGATGGCCATAGGCAGTGCTCGTTCGCGGTGCGTATTGTCTAATTTCCAAGTCATTTGAAAAGCTAATGAACTACAGACGGGCATAGCTGCAGCTAAATACCTGCAAAATCACAGCCCGCGTGCGACTCAACTGAAGGTTGAGTTCCACGCACTGTAAAAACGCCATCGCCCTGTATAGATCAAGCTTAAGATGCAGCTCCTAAAGAGGCTCGAGGTGTGTTTATCAGACGCGACACAAAGTGGTCAAAGACCGAAAATCCTGCTCGCTGCTTCCATGCTTCCCTCGTGCCAGGCCATCGGCTGAGAAAAATATGGTCATTGCAGTTAGATTATAATAAGTATTGCATGGTACCAGCAAGCGAGACCAATGGTGGTTTCAAAATCTGTCAGAACTATTTAAAAAAAGACAATGAAAAGGCAGTAAATGTCCGGTGGCTGGGTGAATTACACTGTATATGCATGACTATGCATGACGATGAAAAAAAGCAACAATAGCAATGGCAGCAGCGACAACAACAACAACCACACTTATTGGCGATGGTGCCATCATGAGAATGAAGAATTCAAATTCAAAAAAACAACAGCCACAACAACCTGAAAACAGCTACATGTTTCTCTTATGGGCTACTTGCTATCGTGAGAATAAAGATTTGAAACAGCAGCAGCAACAACAACAATACATCAACGACAATGATGACGGCAAAAATAGCAACACACTGTATAGAAAAAAAGAGCTGCTGCGCTGGTGAGTTCACAAAGGACGAAACAGTGCTGTCCGCAGGCTGAGAAAGAGAAGAAATATGCACGAAATGCCTCTACTCATAGGACATGTATCCATTGTATGGCCATCCTGACGAATCGGTTCAGACAAATCCCGTGGCAGAGTTGCTAAGATAACCCCTTTGCCATATAGCTAAAAGCACAATTACGAACAGTGCAACGGAAGAGCAAGATATGGCAACGGCAGCTATGGTATGCTGGTGCCAGAACGCAATAGTGTCCATCGTTTGCATCGCAATGGCGCTAGTGACATGTGTGTCATTCGCACCGATTGTCCGAACTCTGAATGTAGGTCTTGTTTCTGTGATGGATGCAGTGGTCTGCGAAGCACACGGACGGTAATGGTGGTTATCCGTGACAAGAGGCAAGTTATCAGCGTCTTCCCGATCTCTGCCTCTACTGCAGCAACCGTACGTCCCAATCATGTTGACACATTCCTTGTTCGATGGACAAAGTGTATCACTTTGTCCCATGGATTTGCATTCGTCAACATCTATAAAATGAGGATGAGATGACGCAGAGAAACATCGAGATGTCATGCAGCAACGTAAGTTGTAAGTCAACCAACTCGGACTTTGTTTGGTAAATTGTGATTTGTAGATCATAATTACCAAACAGACCTCGACCAGGCAGGCACAGTGGGTTGGCCAAAGACCATGATTAAAGGCACGAAAGGTACCTGCTTTAATTAAGTCCTGCCTGGGAGTGGTTTTCCAGCTGTGCTGCAACCTACAGTCAACTGGGAACTTGCGGCCAGGCACAAGGGGTACATGAACGCAGCTAATGGGGTTTCTCGGCACTTGTGCTTGTGGTTGTGAGATCTATCCACTCACCCCCACCGTTAGGCGATGCATCTGCCGCTAGGGTTTACCGGGTGTTAGCGGACGTCATGAGTTCCCTTCGGAAACGGACACGATGATAAAAAAATTTTTTTTTCAACCAAACAAAGTACACCTGAGATCTTCGAATAACTATCAGCAATACAGTAGACATGCTGAGCGTTAAAAGTACGTTGCTTTATACTTCCTCCGCGTCATCGAAATTGTCGCAGTTTGAATTTTGATATAAAACGGGGTATTTACTCACCAGCACTCGTACCAGAGGCAAGGAATCGGACATAGGCGATAGTCATCAGTATAGGGTGACGGCAAAGTTCTATTTTCTGTTATTGAAAGCGGGAATTTTTGAACTAGACGCAATTTCTTCGCTGGTGTCGCTGCGATGGTAATTTCGACTCGCTGAGATCAGTCAGGCGTTGAAGCCTGCACATTTCTCGTGCTTATGGCCATTCACTCAAGCCTCATCACTGTTTTACCTTAGCTGGGGTGAGAATGACTTCGTGGAACAAGTGGCAGGGCTTGGAGAAACATCGAGGGGTCAGCAAACTAATTGCCTGCAACAGCGATAAAATTTGTCGCTCTGGCTGAGACACTCAGTACATGATTGTACTTGCAAGAGCCGTGTAGACTCTACACGTATTGCTAGTGATGCACGCGCAGGTGCCGTACTATGGTACACCAGTGATGCTGAAAAAGAGGGCGCGCTGGACGTGATAGTACACTTACCTGCATGAGCTGTGACCACACAGCTACGGTAAAATAAATGGGCATGCCTCGGCTAAAAAATGTTCTTTTCAAGATCGAGGTGATTTCGCCGACGGTAATCAACCGACCTCGCAACGATCGTGTATTCTTACTAGGCTTCGTTGGTGGTGAAGTAGAAATCATCCAGAGCTAGCAGACGACAAGCATAGCAGCTCTTGTCCTGTGGAGAAAGTCAAAGCGTTTGAGATGAGGCGCGACCAACTTTCAACCTTCCTTGAAATATTTCGGAACGATATTTTTGCGTCCATTGACATCAGCGACTACGAGGACTTCATCTCTGCATGAAACCTCTCAGTCCAACTGTCCTGGAACGTTACTCTAGTCTTCAGACTATCATACTGTGTAATAAGTTTTGAATGGCTTCGCTTATGGAGTTGTCAGTACCAAGTGACAAGTCACTAGTCAAACTGCGACAATTTCGTTGACGCGGAGAAGTAGATGTTTTTTTAAAGGTTTGGCCAGTCACTAAGCTCGGGGATAAGACCTATTATAGACGGAACAGCTAGCAGTACGGAGATTGATTATTTATGGGAGATATATTTTTGATAACGGAGTAAAACACTTTTTTCGATGCCTTACCATGTCCCCACTGTTTTCACAATAATGCAGGTAAAGTATAACCTGTCACTAACGATCACCCCTTGGTGCAGCGGAAACTGTCCTGATATCACAGGGTTCTGCTTGATTCAGGCATTCACATTCGATCCACAACACTTTGGTGCATGGACAATTTGTCCGTGTAACACAGGATTCCGCTGGGTTGAGGGTGCAGCATTTACTGTACTTGTATGAATTAGATGACATTGGAGAGACGGTAAAACATTGACACGTTTCCACTGATAGTAAAGAAAAGGACGAAGGAACAGTACTGACTCTCTACAACGAACTGGCCATCAACTCTAGCACGTCTTGGGTACATTTCTACTCTTGCTGTTACCTCCGCTTATCACGTCATTAACGCGTCCTGCTAAGTTCGAATATTACCCTTTTATACAGAACATTATGCAGTACTCTTTCCTTTCGTATATTTGCTATTTCGCGCGTACCTGTAAGTTAACTTAGAACGAGTTCTGTCTCGTTGTCCAGGAAAAGACCAATCAGCGACATTCCCGCCAAGGGCCTTATCAGAGTTTAAAGCCCACTCAATCGTTATTTTACTACTCTTGATGACGCGTCGGGGGCCTTGGATTGGTTTAAAGCCCTCTGAATATACACTGTACTTTAAACTGGTGCGTGCAACTCCATGTATGCATTATAGTACGGTGCAGATAGTGAACTCTGCATAAAATGTACGGTGTACTACTAAAAGCTACGCATTTCAGAAGTGTGTACGGTTTTGCCTCCCGGATTCTTTCATCTGTACGAATTTCCTTTGTCAACAGCTTGCGGAAACCTATAAAAACCGAAGATCAAAGTCATTAGAGGTATCGACAAGGGGCTCTCAAAGCCCCTAAATAGCTCCACAAGTCGGGAAATCCATCAGCTCCAAAAGCTACCTGTAGGTGGGCGATGAGACTCCAGCTTCAGACTACGACAGTCAGGACTTGTGAATAGTTGAACTTTGTGAAGCAGCAGCTCAAGAAGTTAGCTGAAATCGTGGCTGTTGCAGTATGTCGGCGCTATGTAGCTTGCATTTTTTACGGAGAGTCGATCACCACGCGAATGTTTCTCTCCTCACCGAGAGCTATCTGGCCTCCAAACTCCGTCAGGGTCTACCTAAGGTACCGAAGGTCCTTTGACTAGCTCCATCAAATCCTTTAGCTTCAGCTCGGCGAGCAAAAGTCTCTCTCTCCTCCGCCATGAGCTGACACACACAAACTGAATACAAAACGATGCACTTCACACGTGCTGACTTGCACGCGTGCCCCCTTTCACGAACCAAGACAATCTTTTCGGGATTGGTCTATTTACGTCGCTCTCGTACTTGGCACTTGCCAACTCCGCGGACTGACCACTGTCTCCATTCTCCCTTGCACAAGGCCCTTCATTACTTTAATTGCTTGCCCACCCAGCTTCGCGAAATACCTTCTCGTACTCCCTTCAAATCCCAGATACCCCTGCTGTTGCACAACTCTGTATGCTCCTGGAGCGACCACCCCTGCCCGTATACTTAAGTACATAACTCTGTATGCTCGTGTAGCGACCACCCCTGCCCGTACACTTAAGTACGCAACTCTGTATGCTCGTGTAGCGACCACCCCAGGCACCCCTGCCCGTACACTTTAAAAGTAGTCATTAACCCCTAGGCTCTGCCCACCCAATTCTTCCTCACTCTTTCTCCTTTCTTACACTATTATCTCTTATTGGCCACTGGCTATCGTGAGAATAAAGATTTGAAACTTCTCTTATTGGCCGCAGGCCATCGTGAGAATAAAATATTTCAAACAACAACAACAACAACAAGAGCAACAACAACAACAACAACAACAACAACAACAACAACAACAAAAACAACAACAACAACAACACAAGCAAAAACAACAACAACAACAACAACAACAACAACAACAACAACAACAACAAGAACAAGAACAACAAGAACAACAACAACAACAACAACAACAACAACAACAACAACAACAACAACAACAACAACAACAACAACAACAACAACAACAACAACAACAACAACAACAATAACAACTACAACAACAACAACAACAACAACAACAACCACAACAACAACAACAACAAAAACAACAACAATAAAAACCACGACGACGACGACAAGGACGACGACGCCAACGACGATGACGACGACAACAACGACAACAAGTGTTGTGCATGGTCACAGCTATTAGCAATCTACACTACTCCACTGCTGCTTACCTTCAGTGCGCAACACGACCCCGCTAACGTTACATCCAGCCGACTCACTCCTTTTGGCGGTGAAAGTAAAGTATCGACTGCCATCATTTGTGTCCCTTGGTTCGCCCATCATGTTGGCGGTGCGTTCATTCACATCGATGGTAGTTAATTCCCACCCGCTTGCCATGCGTACGGATATGTCCTCCAGTCCAACCTCGCTATTATGTAGCTGAAATTTGCAAGCACCAGTGAAGGAAAACTCTATCTTCTCTAAGAGGAGCGTGCATTCGTGGCTGAAGTTGAACGTCCACACAACATCCGTGCCGTTGGGATCCGTGATCTTAGGGTTTGGTGGATATACAATTGGTTTTGACGGGCTTCGCTGGGCCAACTGCAAATGACCTGATTCAGGAGTGCATATGCTGTTGCCTGAAACAGCACACAACCCTGAACAAAAGCAAAGAGGACACATAAAATATTCCACTGGTTTGAGAGAAAGGTGCTAAACGGGAGAAAGACGACTCATTGATTGTTACAAATGAGAGTCCTCCGGCTCGGTAGACAACGAACGATGCGTGGTGGTCTGTGCCGGGTGTGTTCATGGATTGTTATAAAGCATATCCCTTCAATATGCCTCGTCATGGATATGAATGCTTGTAGAGGTTTGCCAAAAACCTCCTGGTACCTTTATCTATGTTCGCAGGTAGGGAAGTCACTGATGCCATCAGGCACAACTACAAATCGAGCATGATCAAGGTGGCCTAGATGGCCTCTGCCTGGTGCGGTGCAATAATATTATACATAACCTTGGGCAAACGCGAGGCAGAATGACCAAAGTCAATCATAGTCTGCCATCCCCGACACCAGTACTTGGTAAAAACCGTGAGAAACGAAATGAAAATGAGACTTATGAACAGAAATATCTAAGATGCTATCGATCTAGCTAGATGCATTGATAAGCTTGCCTCATTGTTCCATTCGGTCTATTTTAATTTTTTTGTCACTTTTACCATTCTATGACCCTCATCTCTGGGGTTCCTCAACATAATGCCGTTACCGCTACTCCATATCCTATGACAGTGAGTTTAACAAATAAATACATAAACTCGATAAAGAAGCTTTAATGTCAATATGGTCCCAGGCCATCCCGCACCCCAGCACAAACACCTCACCGACCTCTGTGGTGCGTTTGGTCTCCAGAACATCGTCACGCAGCCGACCCGTGAAACTCCACAGTGCTCTGAAGGCACGATGATCGATCTCATATTGACCAACCAGGCGCTAGTGTCCCTAGCAACGGTTGTGCCCACTGATATTAGTGACCACAGCGCTGTGGAAGCCTTTATTCAGCTTGCCGTTGACGTTCCACCCTCGTCATCCACGACGTCGCGGCTGACCAGGAATATACGTGGCGTTGACATTACCTCTTTTTGGCAAGATATCCTTGAGGCTTCTCTACATGATTTCTCGGATCACAATGATGTAAATCGCATGTGGAAAGAGTGGCACACTAAGTTCCTGTACGTTTTGGACAAGCATGCCCCTCTGCACAACTCTAAGCCTTCCCGGAGGGCGATACCTCCCTGGTCTGACAGAGAGCTGCACCAGCTCGAACAGCGTAAACGGCGGCTGTACAGCCGTTGGCGGAAGGATAGGACAAACGGCACACTGTATGCACAGTTCAAACAAGCACGTAGCACTGCTCGGAATGCGTATCGGCGCAAGCGAAACGAGTACTTCTCCCGTCAGTGCGAAGAAAATGTGGCCAACCCTAGGAAGTCTTGGGCCATTAATGCAGTCACTGGGCGTTTACGTCACCGCCAAAATCCTAGTTGTAGCATCAGTGAGGTGGCCGACACGTTCCACTCCATTGTCACCGATCCCAACCGTCCTGAACAACTCTGCACCCCGCACGGTCCCGCTGGACCCGTCTCCTTGACCGAACTTGATCCTGTGACTCCTGCAGACGTCCGACGTCTCCTTGAGAAGTTGGATGCGCGGAAAGCCGCAGGTAGTGACGGCATACCGGGCTCTCTGCTACAGCAGTGTGCTGACTTGCTTGCATATTCTCTTGCTGTGCTGTTCTGCACCTCGCTGAGGACTGGAACCATTCCATCTGCATTTAAATGGGCGTCTGTCGTGCCACTGTACAATGCTGGTGACCCATCAGTCCCCACCAACTATAGACCGGTATCCCTTCTTCCAATAGTGTCCAAGTTGCTGGAGAGGGTAGTGCTACACCAGTTAGTTCGTCATTTGGACTTGACCAAGGCATTACCCGAAACACAATTTGCCTTCCGCAAGAAATGTTCTACGGAAGACGCCCTCTGTGTGCTGATTGATAATCAGCAGAAGGCGAAAGACAGTGGCAAGACCACAGGGCTGTGCCTACTAGACATGTCGAAGGATTTTGATAAAGTGCACCACGACAAGTTAATCCAAGACCTCCTTGCGGTTGGAATTTCTGGAAAAGCCCTTAGTTGGTTCGTCGACTACTTGTCCGGCCGCAAGCAGCGGATCCTCATCTCGCCTTCAACCAGCCCTGCTCAATTTTTTTATTTTTTTATTTTTTACAATGATCACAGCTCACAGGCAAAGACAACAAATTGCATAGTGGGAGCATAGTGATGGTGAGGCTTTTGCTCTCAGCCGACTGGAGGTCTCGACGTCATGGGGACATAAAACGCACCAAAAAACAAAGGAAAAATAAAAGGAGTGACAGGTACATGATAGGAAATGTTAGGAGGAGAGACCGTACAATAGAAGGAGGGGAAGGATAAGACTGACAGTTCTAGCAGGAGAAGGAGAGAGAAGAAGAACAGACGCTATTGGGAATAGTATGTGTAGCGGAATTTGGAAGTCATGGGGTGAGGCAGATATGATGCTGATAATCAGAGATGGTCATGTGCCCACCACCAGTCGTCGGTCTTCAAATAGCGGTTGGCTGCAACTTTGAAGTGTTGCAAGTTCTTGGTGCAGAATGGACCAGAGAAGACTCCGGCGGGCAGCTGGTTCCAGACGGGGACAACTGCATGAGGGTAGGCTCGACACAGGTTTTTTCGGGAACGGACTGGAAGTTCATTGGCCAGTTGGTGTGCGTGAGCATTACATCTCTGGAATGTACTACGGGTGGAGTGGACTGTTCGGTGTTGGGGCTGCTGGGGTGGCAGCTTCCTCTGTAGAAGGGGATGTGCATCCAGACAATGCATCTTGTACAGGAGGCAAAGTGCTGCAACCATCCGACGAAGAGCGAGACTCGGCAGCCAACACATTGGGGCGATGGCACGGGCTTGCACATGGTCGAGTCTTGCAAGATGGGATGGGGCCGCTCCCATCCAGACAATAGGACAGTACTCCATCACTGGGAGCACAAAAGCATTGTAGGCTTGGATGCGACCGGGCACGTCTAGGAGGTGGAAAGCCTTACACAAAGCGCCAAGTCACTGTGTTTCCCGGAGGGCTACGTTACGAAGGTGGCGCCGGAAGGTAAGCTGACCATCGAAACTGATGCCTAAGATTTTGAGCTCCTCTTGTTCCGTCAAATTGGATCCGTTGAAGTCAATCGGTGGCATGTCCCATTGGGTGCGGTGGAAGCTGACAGTCAGTGCCTGGGATTTGGCGGGTTCAAATTTTATTTTCCATTCTTGACCCCAGCCGGAGATGTTGTTGACTGCTAGCTGGAGGGCTCGGGTGGTATCTTCTTGGGTGGTCGGGGTGATGTTGGCATACAGCGTAGTGTCGTCTGCGAACGAGGCTAGGTCAGCACCGGCTGGTACGTGGTCCTCGCAGTCGCTCACGTACACGAGGAAGAGAGTCGGACCCAGAATACTGCCCTGGGGGACTCCAGCCTGACTTGGGAGCCTTGCGGATGTCTGGCCACAAATGACCACTTGAAGGTAGCGTTCACTGAGGTAGCTGCTGAGCCACTGGTGCAGTTACCCACGCAGACCGTATACGTCGGACTTGTGTAGCACACCGGGGTGTGATACGCGATCAAACGCACCAGCGATGTCAATGGCGAGTATGCGTGCTGCACCTTTCTCCCCCGGCTGTATGCAGCCATTGGTGGTGGAGGCTGGTAAGGAGGTCAGCTGCACTATGACCATGGCGAAATCCAAACTGTGTGGTGGAGAAGACGCTGTTCGACTCGAGAAAATTTGTGATTGTTCTGTTGATGATTGTCTCCATCACCTTGGACAGAATACACAAGAGCGAAACTGGACGGCAATTGGAGGGTAGAGACTTTGATTTCCGTTTGAATATAGGAACTATGTTGGCAATCTTCCATGTCTTGGGCTGTATTCCAGTTTGGAAGCATTGGGTAAACAGTATGGAAAGCGGTTGCGCCAGTTCAGCAGAGCAGGGTTTCAACACTCGTGCCGGTATCCTATCCGGCCCGGTTGCCTTTGATGGGTTGAGCTGGCGAAGGGTGCGTTTTGTTGGTCATTACCGGCTGAGGGGTGCAAACGCATTGCCAACTGAAACAGAATACTTGGCTGCTTGGTCTGCAGGTGGTGAATCTCGCTGGTGGGCGCGAGCTTTCATCCCTGGAGTCCGACTCGAGGTACCGGCATCGGCAGAGCTCCCATCCTCACTGTCCCTTTCATCTGCACTGCTTGCGTTGCCAGTGGTGTTTGCCTGTGGTGCGGAAGATTCTGCGGTGCTGCTGCTGTTGCTGCTGCTGTTGTTCCTGCTGCTGCTGTTGCTGCTGTTGTCGCTGCTGCTGCTGCTGCTGCTGCTGTTGTCGGTGCTGCTGCTGTTTTCGCTGTTGCTGCTGTTTTCGCTGTTGCTGCTGCGGTTTCCGCCAGGGTTTTTGGAGAGGCGCCACGGTCGGCAGTACAAAGGCCTAGGCCAGAAGTTGGGGGCAGTCACAATAGGCATGGAGGTGGCATCTTCAGTGACTCTGGCTGATACTCGTCCACTCTCTCCTACATGTACACTGCAGGTATGCACGGGAATGGAAGAGCCTGACAATGCCTGTTCGCTTCTGTCCATGATGAACTGTTTCAGGCGGCCCTCTGTGCAATCTGGGGAGATGTTGCCCACGTAGGCAACAGAGCGCTTGGCCTTGGGTGGTCCTGCAGAGACCAACTTCCAAGAGTCGTCCGTAATGGTGCTGAACACAGGCTTGGAGTTCTTGACTGGCAGGAGCTCAGTACCCTCTGCGTTAGCGCACATGACATTGTACTCAGTTTCCGTGTCCACTGAGGGCATGCTTGTGTGCCAGGGTGTGGCAGCGCTACGGGTACCGAGTTCAGTGTGCGTTCCCACGTGTTCTGCCTGCTGCTTTGGCTTGTTTTCACTATTTGCGCGCGGCTTAGACTTTCCAATGCTAGTACGGGTACTCTTGTGACGTACTACTAGATGCACTCTCCTTGACCTCCTCGCCTTTTTGTTGCTGTTGGTCGACATGGGCAATGGCGGACTGCTTCAAGGAGCTCAGTTCGCCTCGTAACTCTGAAACGTGTGTACATAGCTCATCCACACGCCGTTTCACGCATTCCTCTCGATCTCTAGACTCACTTACATACGACGACAATTGCTGGATCAAGCTGAGGACATTGGCTTCGATGCCTGGCAGACTGCACAGAAGTCTCAGGGGTTCAGCTGCCAGCTCGTCCATGGCGGAGAGTAGGTCAGGGAGTGACAGCTACTGAAACTAGCACCTACTCTACACTACACTACGACTCCTAGCTCCTAAGGGCTCCACTCCGGCCTGATGCCGGGTGGGCTGCGAAAAAATGACGAAAACCTACAGAGATAAAAAAACTCAAACTTGCCTGTACTATACTCGCTCACATCTTTTTTTAATTTGCAGATGACAAAGCCCTGTACGACTCCCAGGCCTCAGCGGCGGAAGCGTCCAGAACCCTCACCACAGCGGCAACTGCTCTGGCCGGTTGGCTGAAGTCCCGAGGCCTCATCTTGAACGCCGCCAAGAGCCAGGTTCTGACTATCTCTCCCCAGCAGCATGTACAGGAAGTAACAGTCAAAAGCGGCGACTGTCTCCTGCCTTCAGCGTCTTCTGCGCGCTACCTCGGCGTTCACCTTGACAATCGCCTAGATTGGGACACCCATGTAAACTATGTGGTCACCAAGGTTGCCAAAAAAATTGGCGCCTTGTGGCGGGCACGCCGAAGCCTATCAAGACGGTCTCGTCAGGTGATGTAAAGGCGGTCATAATGCCCGACCTGCTTTATGGCTCCTGCTGCCTTTCAGCCGCAATGCGAGAGGGTCAACTGAAACGAATGCACACCGCGCAAAACAGAGCCATCCGCTGTATCGATGGCAACCCGCCCCGGACAGCCATGCAGCCGCTGCTCACTGCTCACTCCCTGTACCGTGTCAGCGAGCTCTACAGGCAAAAAATATTGATCACATCTGGCGGTGCATCCACGCCCGCACCAGCCCTGTGCTATAACATGTTATTTATAAAGACAGGACAAGTGAATAATTGGTCAGTCCATTGTTCATGATGTTCTCCGACGGTTACGTCGGCAAACGAGCCCCCGCCACATCAAAGCAGCGTGGGCTCCGCAGGAGGGTGCAAATTTCACACTAAAATTTAAACGCCTACAACCGCGAATGCACATGATACAGGATTTCAGAAGGCTGAAGGAAATCCTGCATCTAACAAATGCCATAACATGAGAGTAAGGCTCACCCCTCTTCTCAGTCAACAGATGAGCAATTCGTTTATACAGTGCTGTTGATGCTGAACCCATTCCGCCACTGGCTGACATGACCGCCGGAACAAAGGAGGCTTGCTCAACCTGCCTCACCCGCTCCTCATAGTGCCTTCTCTTTTCTTTTTCATGTCGCTGACACACAATAGTATGTGGTGCAGATCGATTTGAGCATGAGTGAGGATTAAAAACCCATATATCAATAAGTTCTGCATAAGCGAAGCTCTGGACGCAGCATACTGCTGCTACACTTCAACGCGGGAATGCGTAAAATAATAATATCAATACAGTCAACTTCGCCAATAACGACATTCGGCGGGGCATCAGAAAAGTGTCCTTATTCGCGAAGTGTCCTTATAACCGAAGTCCCATTTGAATGTATGTGACCCATATTTTGTATAGTATGATATGCATATCAAAATCAAGGTCTTTTCTTGCTCTATGTCAATGTGTACTTTATTTTCATAGCAGTTGAAAGGAACTAAAAATTCAATATGCAAGGGAAATCAATTGAAAAATATGCCTTTTTGAGCCATCTACAGGGCCAGAGATATGTACATGTATGATGATTACTGTACAATCATGTGCAACTACATGTACATTGTATACATATAGGTGTGCTGGTAAATCCAACAATTTTGAAGCCAACATAAAAAAGGAAGAAAAAGCCCCCCCCCCCCCTTGGCTGCATTTTCTTGCATGTGTGCAATAATATCCATCACCAGTGCACCATAGGTTCTGGTACTTCTGCATGACAGGTACATGACTGTACTTGACTGACAGGTACTTGAAATAGCTGTCAAAAGCCCAGAAAGTCGTTATTCAAGCAGTGAATATGACCACGGGGCACTAAAAGCATGTCGCTATACGCGAATTGTCGTTATTCAGATAGTCGTTATATCCGAAGTTAAATGTATACAGTTAGATGGGACTTTGCTCTGGGCATGGAAATTCGGTCGTTATTCGCGAATTGTCGTTATATCCGCAGTCGTTATTAGCGAAGTTGACTGTAAGTGTACGCTCAAAACGACTGCCCCACAAACCATTGGCACCGTCATCCAACTTGGCACGGTCTTCCACATTTGCGGTCCGGTAGCGACGACGCTCCCCCGTCAGCGGTTGCAGCAAGGGCTCGATGGACACACTGGTGCACACCTCGTCCAGCACCCGGGCCGTGACGTCCCGAATACCATTGTGTCTAATGGAGGGAAACCCTCCATAGTGGCACGACAGGGAATGCGCGACAGTTGCCTCTTGGCTGCAAGAGCAGTGTGACGGTACCCTGGCCGGTGTCCATCCGTAACGGAGGCAGAGTCCGTCCCAAAACTCTCCCTTTGATAAATTAAAATGATACTTCTTAAGTTGACGGCACGTCAGCCAGCTCGACGACCCTTTCTCCTTCGCGACGTCTATGACATGTCGTAGCGACTCCGACGCACTGCCCGATATCGCGTCGAATTCCAGTTTCTGATGACGTCGAGAAGATGCCTTGGCCTGTGCTCGCCCAGCTTCTTACCCCGGCACAAGGCACCCCTACCCGCCATCAGCAGTCAAATGGCCTACTGAGCCAGGCAAACCGTAGCCGCCGCGGTCAGCGGAGATTTTCTGTTGCTGGTGCTCTGCTGTGGAACGCTCTCCCTGGTGAGGTCCGCACAATTACCCGGCTCCCTGAGTTTAAGCATGCATGTGTACCACACGCCTGTAGGGAGTAGTTCGAGTTGCTGCTAATCGCTCTGCTCTCCCTCCCCGTGCAGTTCAGTGATCCTCACGTAGTATCACAGATACATTGTATTCTCTCCCCTCCCCCCCCCCCGTTTACTCGCAGTTATTAGTATCCTACTCTCTTACTATGTGCTTCCATAGCCTTTACTATGTTCTTCCATAGCCACTTCTAAGCTAAGCCTTCGCCATCATTTTATTGGGTCGTCCTCCCGTTTGAATGTGCGAAGTGAAATAAAAACCCGCCAACCAACCAACCAGAAGCATCTCACCTCCGATTAACAGCAGTGCCAGTAGACAGTGTGCGGGATTTGTAGACTGACGATGCAGTAGCACTCTGGCCTGTGCCATATTCCCTCACGTTAGTTACGTCGAGTACAAAGCAAAGTGCTATTATAAGGACAATAGTCGTGCAGAGAGTGATCACGTTGTGCCTCCACTATCGTGGCTGTGTAGGACTGCTTTCCTCAGAAACCGTTTATACGTTTCTTTACCATTCGTCCAAGCTACCAGTACAAACTCCACTTGGTAACAATTGCTCTCACGGTGGTTGCAACTGAAGACGATAATTATGCGTTAGCTTCATTTTCTGGAAAACTTGTATGCTATATGATCGCCTTTCCAACACCTGGCCTGGTTTTGATCGAAACGCAAGTGAATTAGACAGACGATGAGACATGGTAGAACAGTTGTGATCATCTGTTCAAAAATTTTAGGAACGGAATCACGGTGTAGGCGGAAAACGGGATAGTTAATTGTGAACGGATGCATAACAGAATCCTACTGGCTTGTTGCATGTACTGCAGAAAAAGTTCGTGGGGTCTTCTTCAGTCCCACCAGTGTCAGGTCTGGCTGAGGCCAACTACTATCCAAATAATTATGTGTTTCCTGCTCCTGTAGCTGGAGCTATGTTCGTCTGTTTGCGAACACTCTGGCAGTGTCGGAAGCCCACATATCGCGAGATTAGTTGCCATTTCTCGCTCTCCCCCCCCCCCCCCCCTCCTGTGCCACTGTTGCTACGGATTCTTGTCTGCATTCAATTTGTGTTGCCGATTTTCTTGAACTTATTTTGGGAACACAGGCCCAAGCTGTTTGATCAGTCGTGTTGAGTCACTTATAGACCAAGGTGGTTTGGACAGAACATGTCATATTTTGATTTGTCCTATAAGATTTGAGTGCTCTGCATTATCCAGACCCCCGGAGTGTTGTAATGGATATAATGATAGAACTGGCAGGGAAAGAAATATATAAGTATTAGTACTAGAACCAAAGGTTGCTTAGACCGGGTTTTACTGTACGATGAATAAGCACACAGATACCAAGTACAGATGTCTATGATTGATTGAGGAGCACCGCCGACGGTTGACACATCAGCTAACACTTTGCAATGTTAGCCCCCACCCTTTCCCCAGGCAGGCACAGTGGGATGGTCAAAAACCATGATTGAGATACGAGAGGTACCTGGTTCATAGGCGCTGCATCTGTCGCTAGGGTTTACCGGGTGGTAGCGGCCGTCGTGAGTTCCCTTCGGGAACGGACACGATAATAACTTTTTTTACCCGCCTTCACTCCTCCAATGGTCTTGGTCTACCCCGAGTTTATTCACGCTACGGTCTGTTTTCCCTTGCTTATTTGGCTGCAGACAGATGGAATAGCGCTCCATCTGAAATCCACACTGCTGGATCGCCATCGCCAGGGTACCCCGTAAGAAGACCTTGTGTCTGTGGGGAATGCCCTATTAGTATTAAAATATGAATAAATAATAATTGACAAATAATCTACGTGGAGATAAAAGTTTAATAATAGCTACTTCAAGAAGTATGAAAAGTATGAATGCCGCAGACATCACCACGCAACATGACAATTTGTTCAAGGTTTGGTTTTGTGTGTTTCCAAAATCGATTTTCACGCTCCGATCATCAGTGGAAATACGGAACTAAAGAGATCAAGGGAAAAACAAAGGTTAAAAATCCAAAGAAGTGTGACACATGACGGATAACTTGTGGTAAATAATAATTGCAATTTCAAAGTTGGCCTTTACGGTGAATTTGAAAGTGGTAGGAAATTAGAGGCCACATGCCACGTTCTGCTATTTTGTCTTCGAAACTCAACACTTGCAATCCAGATTTGAAATAATTATGGTTCGAGTCCCGGTGGTGTGATTGATGACCTTTTCTTTATTTCATATCTACCTTGCAAGTGTTCAGTTTCGGAGAGAAAAGAGCATTACGTGGCATGTGGCTTCCAATTTCCTAATAATCACAGGTTTGAGGGAAAGATACAAACGGGAAAAGTCTGAAGACAAAATTGACTGTCACCACCAGGATTTTAAAAAGGGACCCTCGCTTGTAGCCAGCGATGCTCTAACCACTGAGCTACGGTGTAGTCGTCATCCCAGCAGAGACCGTTCAACATATTCTTCAGACTTCGTAACTCACACTTCCTGTGAATCCACACAGGCGGGTGGGATGCAACCCTCACTGTACACACACATGTAGGTTTGCAACGGGCCAACCAAAGTTATCATGCCACAGAAACACTCGCGGCCAGCACCTCGCAGGCAGTCCGCAAAGCCGGCTGTCATCGTACATCGTCCCGAAGCGTGGGAAAATGGCACATGCGCAAGCGTGGGACTCGCAGCCTTGCTGGCAAAGAACAGCAGCGAGACCTTTCTATGCAAACAAATTTGTTTGAGCACCTTGGCTTGCAATATCAGCAGTGTTGTGCGAATTTTTTTTCCGCCCACCACAGCCCACTTCTAAGTTCTAGCGCCTCCAGAAAGGGGGGAAGCAAGCAAAGCCCCTCAGCTGCATGCATTTTGGAACAATTCTCTGCATTAGCTTTCAAGCACTGGCGGCACGCGCTGCCCAGCAGCAGGACCACATGGTCCCAGCAGGACCAGCTGGTCCCAGCATAGACACATTGTGTCCAGCAGCCGGGCCAATTGGCCCCAGCATACAGCAGGACCGTCCGGTCCCAGTAGTCATTTGACTACCTGCGCACAGCCGTGCCCCACATGGGCACAGCAGCATTAGTTAGGACCACATGGTCCCAGCCGGACCAGCTGGTCCCAGCATAGACACATTGTGTCCAGCAGCCGGGCCAATTGGCCCCAGCATACAGCAGGACCGTCCGGTCCCAGCAGTCTTTTGACTACCTGAGCTGCGCACAGCCGTGCCCCACAAGGGCACAGCAGCATTAGTTAGGATCATGGGCCTTAATCTCTTGCACTGCCTGCCATCTACCAGCATTGTAACAGAATTTTCTACAATCCCGCTTTGCGGGGCCGCCTGGTATAAATGCATTGTTGCAAACAATTCGCAGATTACAAATTCTGTTACAAAACACTTGATATGATCCAGCCGCATCAGCTCGGCAATCCCAACTTCCACTTGCTTGATGTGCGTGTGGGTGGTAAACTTAATTAATGTACAAACTAGCACGCAGGGAGCCCCAAGTCATGAAATATTCATACCGGTACTTCAGCAGGTTTGAGGGAAAAACAAACGGGAAAAGTCTGAAGGAAAAAATTGACTGTCCCCACCAGGACTCGAACCAGTGGCCCTCGCTTGTAGCCAGCAATGCTTTAACCACTGAGCTGTGGTGTAGTCGTGATCCCAGCAGAGACCGTTCAGCATTTTCTTCAGACTTCGTAAGTCACACTTCCTGGGCGGGTTAGACGCATCCCTCACTGTACCCAAACACTTCACATACAAACTATCACGCGGGGAGCCCCAAGTCCTAACATACCCACATGTTTGAGGGAAAGACACAAACGGGAAAGTCTGAAGAAAAAAATGACTATCACCACCAGGACTCAAACCAGGGACCCTCGCTTGTAACCAGCGATGCTTTAACCACTGAGCTATGGCGTAGTGTTCATCTCAACAGAGACCGTTCAACATTTGGCCCAGAATCTGCGAAAACTAGGCTTAGGGTGAAATTTTACAAAATGACTTTTCCCCATTTTCAGCTTCTACTGTGCATGGGAGGTCAGGAAACAAAAGATTACAGGTGTGGGTCGACTCATAGTGGTATTAAAAGTATCTCAAACACACCAGGGTATTGTGTTAAAAAAATGTTTTTAACACAAAATTGTTATCACTGGAAAGAAACGAAGAGAGATCCACCAGACTAAAGGAAGAGACATGGATGATTTTTGTTTAGGTGACATGGCAACGTAGGCGGTAGGCATGGGGGAGGGGCAGGCTTGTTGTGGCCCCTTGGTGCTCCAGGCTGTAGTGGCCATGCACAGTTTTGCATTTTGTTTGCTCCTCACCCAGCACCTTCTGGGGCTGAATACATGTTTTTTTTATATTATTGTTTTTTACAAAGACCAAACGTAAGATGCAGCTAGGGGAAGCACGCACAACCTGAATCGTGGCAGTTGTGGTGAGGTTTAGGGAGCTCCACCGACCTAGGGTCTCGACTTCATAGCCACCTACACGCACCAAGAGTGGGTGGGGAGGGACAGCGAGAGAGAGAGAGAGAGCAGGATAGAGCGAGCGAGAGAGAGAGAGAGAGAGAGAGAGAGAGAGAGAGAGAGAGAGAGAGAGAGAGAGAGAGAGAGAGAGAGAGAGAGAGAGAGAGAGAGAGAGAAAGACAGAGAAAGAGAGCGAGCGAGAGCGAGAGAGAGAGAGAAAGAGAGATAGAGAGAGCGAAGGAGAGAGAGAGAGAGCAAGAGAAAGCAAGAGCGAGAGAGAGAGGGAGAGAGAGAGAGAGAGAGAGAGAGAGAGAGAGAGATAGAGATAGAGAGAGAGAGGGAGGGAGAGAGAGGTTGCGAAATTGTTAAAGTAAAATATAAGGAACATTGAGAATATGAGATGATTGGTGAGGTGACTGCAGCCTCAGCTATTTGGCCAGCAAAGTCATAATTGCTACAGTACGCCAGCTATTACATGAACATGGGAGCTACTGTGCCGCAACACAGAGCGAGGGAGAGTACATAAGTTAGCGAAAAAACTTCAAAAAAGACACTGTCCCAGATGCGGTGTGTGCACTACGGCTGAGGTGGGTGTGCGAGGTCTGCTAGAGGCTCTCAGTCGCCCAGCTCCAGTGGTGCAGCTGGATGTGACCGTGGACACGGCACTTAACGGCTTGCAGGCCCTCCAGGTGTGGAGGTCTCAGCAGTATGCTTTGGGGCAGAGCATTCCATGTCTGCACAGCACTGGCAGGAAATGCGCGAAGACAGCTGTTTCGGGTGCGTGCTGGCAGGTTAGTCGATAGCTGGTGTAGGTGCATAGGCTGAGCAGACACGCGGGTGGGCTGTATGTCCTGAGGTCGACCGTGGGCACCAGGGGGAGGATCTTCTTTAGCGGGCTGTCCGCATCCAGGCATAATAGCTTATACAAGTATGCAAGCGAGGCCACTGTCCGCCGCAGAGATAGACTAGGGAGCCAGGAGCCTGATCCGATGATGTGGATGGCTCGTCGCTGGATCTGGTCTAGCTTGGCCAAGTGTGAGGGTGGCGCACCAAGCCAGACAAGGGGACAGTACTCCAGCACAGGTCGGACAAACCCATTGTAGGGTCGGAGTCGGGCAGGGGGCTCTAGGATAGTAGAGGCCTTCCGCA